GTTTAATGCTCCTCCTTGTCAAGTATTCTTTCTTAATTTCTGCGACAGATGAAAAGGCGCTCTAATTAATCCAGGAGGTTGTGAAATAAATGATTGTCTTTGAAGTACAGGCCCAGGCCTTGGACTGCATTAGAAGCCAAGCATGTGATTTGCAACTGTTGAAGTAAAACCCTCACTTTGCTGCAGGGAGAGGAAAAAAAACCGGGGGTAAAATGAGGAGGGTGGATTCTCGGCAAAAGAAAATGGTATCTTTGTTTGCTGTCCTTTGTTTACCAGGGGATTCTTTCTCATTTTTCCTCTTTTTTTTCATTTTTTACTAATTCATTTCAATGGCTTTCAAACAGGAAAATGGAAATGTTGCTCCTGCCCTCTATTTCAGAAGCAGCGTCCTGGCAACAGAGCAATTTTCTATCATCAGGGATAAACGGCATCGAACAGTACATTCTGATAAAAAAAGAGCCCATGATTGCTGGCCTTCCTGTCTGTCATCTATCGACCAAATCCTCTCCTTCAAGACCGACCACTGTGCTGTCAGACCTAATAATGTCGCGTATTAAGTCGAGAGGGGGAAAAACGGGGGACCAATGCACGCACTCCGCCACTATAGTCTTTTATGTCACCGAAAAATTCAGATCAACTTTTGGAATATAGCTCCTTTGTTACTGATTCGGTATACAGGATCAGGCGTGTTCATCAGGTCTTATGCACGTTACCCAGTAGCGCCGAGCCCAAACTAATAAAATATATATATTTCGACACTCTGGGCTTAAAACTGCCAATTTGTGACAACAAGTATATGTCAAAGCCCTTATATCGCCCTCCTTATTTCTCCATATTGTCTTAATAATACTGATATAATACGGCCAATATGTAAAGACATTGTTGTCGTTTTCTCGCACTTCTGCTGATCAGAATGATCAAACATTTTGTAACATTTCACCAAACGACTGAATTTCCGGCTGCTTCAGGTTTTTTTTTGTGTGCTTATTTCAGAAACGAATGGCAACATAAAACAACCATCCGACTGCTGCAGGAAACCGAGCGATGCAATCACTCAGCCGGACCTAAACATGCAGTGAGAGGAGGCGACAAGAGAAACAAGCAGTCTTAATTAGGACTCGGGCCCTGAGTGGGACCAGTGCAGCTTCAGTCTGCCAAATTAAATCCATTAGTCTATGAGAGGCTGTGAAGACTCGGTGCTACAGGCCTTTGCTTATTTGTGGTCATTTAGTTTCACAAGCAACACGCTACGCTGGGTCCATCTGAAGTCCCCCGCTCGCCTGCACCTGGGGCCATGCATATGCCAATTTAGCTATTTACCGGAGAGATAATGCAATCCCAATTTATGATGCAAAACTTATTGTAAACAGACGTCTGCCTGGGAGGGGGGCGCGTGGCTTTCTTTATGACAAAACCGCACTAATTTTTCTTGGTGTAGTTGCGAGCTTTCAGGAAACACATCAAAGCTTTGCATAAGTGGGTTTGCATTAGTGCGTAAAAGCGGCGCTCCACCATTTGGGCATGGATGAATTCTGCCAGCATTAAAGGCTGATCGGTGGTCATTTTGGGCACGGATGTGTGTGTGTGTGTGTGTGTGTGTGTGTGTGTGTGTGTGTGTGTGTGAGGGGTTGCTCCCTCTGAATGTAGTTACATGAACCACGTTACGCTGACAGCTGTGTGGAGGATGCATCTGCGCTTCTTCTCGCCACTTCCCGCCCTTCACACGGCAGCCACGGAGAGCCGTCGACGCCTGGCTGTCTGTGAAGCGCCAGTGGCTTTGCGCTGCGGAGAAGGGAGACATGTTGTTTAAGTGCCTCCCGGTCTCTGTCTGCAGGGACAAGCCTCTGCGTCCCCCAAACCGCCCGGATCCCCGAGCAACCGAAGGGGGTGGCTTTTCATGCGAGCGAGTCACTAACTGTTAGAGGGACCGACCGCAAACAACCCGGCCTCCCGCTACAATATAATGACTTGTGTTTTGCTGGAACTCCGTGTTAGCGCTCAAATATGATTAACACGTGTGCAAAATAGACAAGCAAATACGTGCAGACTTAAAAAAAAAAAAACAGTATGTGACACACATTCAGAGAGAGAGAGAGAGAGGAGGAGAGAGAAGAGGACACTAGTTGTATTTTATATATTTTTGAACCGTTCTAGAGACTTCCATGCGCCAAATTGGGTTAAGGTGCCATAGCTCGCCTTCATACTATCTAAACTGGCAGCGACCGTGTTAACCATACAAATAACGCCAGGTTACACCTAAATGCAGTGTAAAATATTCTCAGCTTTCATGTATCCCGACGCAGACAGTGGATTGTCAGGGAAATCCCAGGCCTGGAGTGATTTTAGAGAGTCATTCATCAGCGTTTATAAGACAGCTGGAAATAAAGACCACTTCTGCTAAACCGCCACGGCCATTGATTGTGCTGAAGGTCAATCATCTACTTAGGGACAAAGTGATTTCTAGATTTGCAGCCGAACTCAGTTAATTTTGTGATTGACATTTGGACGGAGTGAAATATAAAATAATTTCCCTCCAGAATAAGGCTGTGAACTCTTAATAGGACAGAGTACAACAGAGGGCATAGGTACGCTTTGGGGGCACGTCTCATTTTCAAATATTTCAAAACATTTTCATTTTTAACGAATTCTGTCCGCTGATGTCCTGTATGTGCCGCTGGTTTCTTCATGTGCTTCTTGCAATCAGACACGGTTGTCAGCGTGCATGCATCTTAAACATTTCAAAAGCACCGAGGTCGAGTATGTCACGTTCTCCCTGTTCAAACAAATCCGTCCTTTCACCACTTCACTTAATCTCAGTGTGCTACAGAAAAAGCCTCCCAAACACGCCTGCGGGACACCAAGACTTTGACATTAACCGCGCAGAACACCCCTCAAAGTAACTGATGTGCTGCAATAATCCTGCGGTGGTTTCGCAGATGATGATGCAAAACATGAAGGAAGACGTCTCATCCTAATACCCCGAATATTTTAGCCCGCAGGGGGGGAAGCAACTACCATCACTGCAAAGCATGTTCGTCTTTGTAGTAGCACTCAAAGGCGATTAGAAAAGGTATAAGATCTGGTTTCTCTTCTGCGTGTCCAAGTGGAACACGGGCAGGGGAATTGGCCACTATGTTAGATCACTGAGGGGTGACCAAGGTGTGCTGACTCCTGCGAGGTCTGGACGGCCACACTGTGTGTGCCTAAAACACGGGATTATCAGAGGCAATAAAACCATTCATCAGTGTCAGTGAACATAAAAGGAGCATTCAAAGGAAGCTCTTACCTGCCGCGCTCCTGACGACAAAAGAAGCACCCTGTTTTGTTTTTAAAAAATATGATTGAAATGAATAAGAGAATCTGGAAGCATAAAATAAATCCGTCTTGCGCCTCACATCCCTGCCTCTGTGCTGCTCTCGCGGTCCGCTGCTGTAAAATGATTATCCGGCTGGGTTGTGCACTTTTTAAATCCCCACAAAGTAAATAACAACCGTAACGATAATAGCAAGGTACCAAGTTCTGGTTACAGAAAAGGAGAAAATTGAAACTAAACGCTGCATTTAGACAACCATTTTTGATAAGAGGATAATTGAGGCGACACTGGCGTATAATTAGGGGATAATTTATGCTATATCCACTTTTATTCCACCCTCCCAAAATAAATCCAGTCCATAATCATTACAGACGAATTGTTCTTAATTTTATAGCTGCAATTTGAGTAAAGTGTGGCCGCTAATCAAATAGGTTTTCGTCGTAACTTGATTGCAACCATAATTATTTTTCATCGCCCATTTTTGTTTGGTGAAATTGCTGAACGCTACATTGCGGCAAAAAAAAAAAGCTGAAAGTGGTGATAAACATGATTTGAAAACCTACTGCATTAATGTACGTGGGCATATAATTTGAATGTTATATGCGAACATCGCAGCCCTCAGAGGCAAACTGTATAATTTACATATATTGAGGACCCTATCAGGCCTCATATTACAACAGGGATAAAAGACACTGTCAGTTTATCACGGTATCCACCCTTCTATGTGCAAAATAACCTATTGTACCTCAGGCATATTGTTATTTGATGTGTCACATGTACTGTATTTTCAATTGTCTGAAGATGCTTAATCATATGGTCAGTAGCCCGCAGGGAAAAGGAACAGTTATAATATACGTTACTTGGAGAGCAGAGGGGCGCTCAACGAGCGACTGCTCATTAGGAGACATCAAAGCAAACACTGCCAAAAAATAATAATTTCATAAACACTTATTCTTTGTAAAAAAAAAAAAAAAGAAAGAAAAATTAAACATTCTGATATGTAAATTAAACAAAAAAACAGTGGTTGTAGGCCTATTTATACTAATTTTCAAGGCGATTCCACCTGTTTCAGGAGTTTCCTTGACATAAAACAGACCACTTTGTATAAATATGTTTAGTGTTTAAATACATCTTTCAAAGTATATAATACGAATATAATTATTCCACACTTTGTGACTGTTTATAAATTTGATACAAAATATCTATCCAATCTAAACGAATATTTTTCATATGTATAGATATCCTGTTAATAATATATTGGTACGTGAATCATTTTCATATTAAAATCCATTTCGACTTTAATATTGTTAATAAGGATGTTTGTTGATGCTTTGCTTGAAATAATTAATTCCTAAAGAGAGGAGGAGTTAAAGGCTGAGAAACAATGAGGCACATATAGACTGCCGGCTCATCAGGCTAAATCAAAGTACGCGCTATATGTTGCGCGTCGTGCGTAATTTGGGTGAAAAAACTAAACCGACTCGGCGATTCCAAAAGAGCTGTTTTTACGTGTGAAGCTTGTCTGTAGGAATTATGCGTTTTTCCCACCATATATTATTTCCCCCATAGTTGTGGTGGGAGCTGGTAAGGTGGGTTAACTCCAGCTCAAGTCTCCGTGAAGCGCAGAGCACTGATGACGTTGGGTTGGATGACCAATCGGGAGGCGCTGCCCTTTGGAGACAAACCATTTTACTTGTAGTGTCTGCATCAAGTCTGGAAGCAAGGGCTCAATTTTAACAGAATCCACCTTAAAATCTCTCCCTTAACTTATTCCTACCGTCCACCATTTTGAGCGAGAATATCACACAACAAGGGGGGAAATAAAGACGCCTCTGGAAAAACCCGGGTGTTAATAGGACAATATCTGTTCGCGGTGGAGAGAGGAGAGAGACAACAGCAGAGCGAGAGAGAGAAAACCGATTTGGTCTTGAGAGAGAGAGAGGGGGTGAGTGCTCTCAAGGCAGAAAATTCGATGATGACCATGACTACGATGGCTGACGGTCTGGAGGCTCAGGACTCGTCCAAGTCTGCTTTCATGGAGTTTGGGCAGCAGTCGCACTCACAGCAGAGCTCCCCGTCGATGGCCGGCGGCCACTACCCGCTGCACTGTCTCCACTCCGGCTCGCACGCTCACCACCAGCACGACAACACCGCGTACACCGGGACCAACACCTACAACAGGTCGTTACCCTACCCCTACGTGAGCCACCCGCACCACAGCCCGTACCTGCCGTCCTATCACAACAACACGGGAGGACAGACAAGGTTAGACAGCACAGGTAAGAGACCCCTTTTTCCACCATGCCAAGTGGAAAACGCACCGCGTCGCGTCCATCCCAGGCGGTTGACAGTTAGCCTATTAGCATATGCCTTCTTTCCCCCTATACTGCCGGTGTTGGTGTCAAGCCCGAGTCACCGCACGGCCACTCCAAATTCCGGACGAATGATCTTTCAGGTGGGCGATTACATCGAAGAAAAGCCGTGCGTAAATGGCAACGGATAATTTGCGATCCAGCCTATTACCTTCTCCGCCTGCTTGCTGTCCCGTTTAGTACTCCCCTCACTTCCCACAAAACCTGTTTTAATGCCCGGGGTGTGATCATCACGACCGTGCAATCCTCACCAACTACTCGTGAAAATTAGGCAGCCCGCACGCCTTGAATGTTGTAATTAGCATTTAATTGACATGTCATTACCAGCAATATCCTAAATATGACAGCGTATGCAGGATTGTTGGCTGCCACGGCGCTTAAAGGCAATGTGAGATTTTTCAGCTTTTAAGACAGTTTCGTTCGGCGCCTCGGAATTTACTCTTCGCGGAATATTGCAGCTGTTTAGACACGTTTGTGTTTCCATGCACAGCGAAATGCATGATGTGTCCGCATGGCTGCGGATTTAAATACTAACATTGGTTGTTTTTGTTGCAGAGCAGAAAACGACGGTGATTGAAAATGGGGAAATTCGTTTTAATGGGAAAGGCAAGAAGATTCGCAAGCCCCGGACAATTTATTCCAGTTTGCAGCTTCAAGCGCTGAACCACCGTTTCCAGCAGACACAGTACCTCGCTTTACCGGAGCGCGCCGAGCTGGCTGCCTCTTTAGGACTGACACAAACCCAGGTACGAGGAGGGATTCACTCTCTTACTCCCTACATGTTGACATCAACGCCTGGAAACCTCATGTACATAACTATAATAAAGATTAGGACATTATTATTATTACTATTATTATTATTTGGCTGTGTTTTTTCGTTTGGGTAATGGTCTTTATTTATATTACATTTAATAACTTGCAATTTTGCAGAAACTAACCGAGCTTCACACAACTCAACACATGCTCTTTTCTCCACGTCCTTCACCAATGCGCACTTCTCCCCCCTCGCAGGTAAAGATTTGGTTCCAGAATAAGAGGTCAAAGTTCAAGAAACTGCTCAAGCAAGGCGTCAACCCGCACGAGAGCGACCCTATTCCGGGCTCCATGTCCCTCTCCCCGCGCTCCCCGACCATCCCTCCGATATGGGACGTCTCGGCCTCTTCCAAAGGAGTAAACATGCCGGCCAACAGCTACATGCCCGGCTACTCTCACTGGTATTCCTCCCCGCATCAAGACTCGATGCAGAGATAGACTGACGAGACAAGGGGACGCTCGGTGAGCTGTCTGGAGGCCTCCGGATCTCCGCCATGCAGTTTTCAACGTAGCCTACAATTTGTGTCAGCGCAGAGGCTGGATGCTGGAGAGGAGAAGGACCCCTCGGCTGCTCCTCTGCTGAAGGATAAAAAAAACCGCAGCAAAGCCTCGGTGTGATGACACAAACAAGGGGACTAACCATTTTTTTAAAGCGTACATGGCTGTTCAATGGGCTCGCATATTTGTTATGCTTTCATTCATGTCAACATCTTGAAAGTCAATATACCAAATATTATCAGTGACATTTCCGCCACTTTGGGGCAAAGACTGCGTACACCCTCCATGCGCGGTGGCGCACAGAGCCCGTCGCCATGGGGGCGACTCCTGACTGCTTTTTTTTTTGGGTTGTTTCTCCAACATGCAAAACCAAGCAAATTGTCTGTCTGTAAATATATTCTGCGATTTGAGTTGTACATACACTTTTTATGTTTTTGTCAGATTGAGTAAACCGTGACTCAAAACAGATGGCTGCTGTTGCATGATTTCATAAATTCATTTGAAACTAGGCCCCCTTTTTATGCTTCATATTGGGCCAACATCACATTATAACGGGCCTATTTCCCGTCCCCCTGGTGTGTGTACGAGCCTCTAACAGACACCATGAGGTAATGACACGGTGCTCGGTGAAAAGCCCATTTCATCAGTCAACGTTTTTAAATAAATCCAAAGCGCTGGGTGGCTGATGAAGCACGCCAGTGTATATAGATTTATCAAATGCACTCAACACCGGAGGAAATGAACTTACCCGGCCCCGCTGCGGTCTACATTCACCTCGAAAGACATTTGCTCCAGGTCCAGCTTATCTTGTCATTTCACCCTCAATTATTAGAGGTATTGACAAAATGTTTTCTCCTTTCTCTCCGTCCTAATGCAGGCCGTTAAATGCCAAGCTCCACGGGATCGATGTTGAACAAAGCAGCCAGCTGCAGCGGCGTTCAATATGAAGGAGATATTTGGGACAATTTGTGGGTTTTTATCCAAGTGAGGCTTTTTTTTCCCCATTCTCATAAATGCAGGCATAATTAGGGTAATTTTTGATGTAGCCCGCTGATTACAGCGTTTTTACCGTCAAAGATAATTACCTGTAATTTTCTACCACTTTTAATACTAAAAGGCATCTTTATTTGGATTTGAGGTAGCACAGATGGAACAAAAGGGGAGATTATTCGGTTATTCACATACAAATTGCCGAGAAGAGTGAGCGCTCGGGATATTATCTGAAATTACAACGCTGAAAAGCTTCATGCAGCTGTCAAGACGCGGATGTCCCACTGGCGCACATTCAGCTATATACCTGGGCCCCCAGACTGCGGGGGGGGGGGGGGGCTATCTGCTATACGGGGGCCATGTGCACCCTCATCTGCAGGCTGCAGGGAGCCCGAAGCAGCAGTCGAGTAAACATCAACAAGGCTCATAAATACACAGTTGGGTTATTCAGCTCTAAGAACTGACACGTTTCATCGTGTTTTGCAAATGGGGGAAAAAAGGCTTTGATGAGCTAAATCACATAGATAGATAGATAGATAGATAGATATAGATAGATAGATAGATGGATAGATGGATAGATGGATAGATGGAT